TGTCTCCAGTGAGTCCCAGGTCTCCCCTGTCTCTCCTCTCTGAGGTTTATTAGGAATAGTGACTGAAAGTTGGGTTAACGTAGAACTCCATTTGTCCTCAGCTCGTGTATTTGTTGTCTGACACGTGCAGAAACCTAGAAGAGGAGACCCAACAAGGTTCAGTCAGGTTCTCTGGACAGTTTCTTTTTGTTGAAACATTTCTACTTTCATCCAAAAGACTTCATCAGTCCGAGGAGCCACAACAAACTCAGTCTTATAAATAGCACCTTTACATAGTGGGTCAACCAGTTTGATGGTGCTCAGATAGTTTCTGGAGTCCATCCTCTCCTCCACTGACTCGTCTGAGGTAGCCATGGCCAAAGTGGTTCAAAACATCAAAGTTCATGCTCAATCATCCACGTAGAATAATCCAACAAAGTTGAGTCAGGTCCTCTGGATGGTTTCTTTAGAAGAATGATCTTCCTCTAGAAGAGGAGAATTAAAGGAAGGAACTAATGCAGACACAGAACACACTCGAGCTGCTTTCTAAGATTTCAGTGCTTGAACCAGGCTTTGAAATAAAAGTAAAAACTTAAGAAAGTTTATGTAAGTTGATGACCAGCCGGTCGAAGCAGATGGACGCTCGTCCTGAGCCTGGTTCTGCTGGAGGTTTCTTCCTGTTAAAAGGGAGTTTTTCTTCCCACTGTCTCCTTTGTGCTTGCTCAGGATGAGAGACTGTGATGAAGAGTCAACCCAATCTGCTTCCTTAGATAGAGAACTTTCACTGATTGGCTTTTTATGAATGTTTCTGTTCAGTGCCCTGGGACGACTTCTGTTGACACTCGGAGCTACAACTAAATTTAATGTTGAATTTTCAATTCAAACCTCAAGAAACTTTTTTCCACATATCCCAAGGACAATTTGGAAACCAATCGGGCTTTGTTCAAGCCTTCTGTTGCAGGTGGGGTTTCCTGGAGTTGTGGCCAGAAGGTTGTGAGTGGTGTCTGTTGTGATCTGTTCGTAGACACCCGTAGCAATGAAGAGCATCAAGCTGAAAAAGTAGGCCTTTTAGGGCTTTGCTGTCTCACAAGACTTCTGAATTATCTAACAGGTGTCAAATAACCAGAAGGACTACATCTTCTGTAGTTGTGGAAGCAATACCTAGAAAGTGTGAGGAGTTTGGTCAGTGTTAGCAATGACTGATTAAGGGAGTGTGGTTAGGGTGAAGAAATTCTGTTGTTGGACTTTTGTGCTAGTCACGGGGGTCCTTACAAACCCTTCATAAAGTACAGGGTGATGTAGTACCAAGACATGTTGTGTTCATCTCATTTTAGGCACTGATGAAGATGAAATGGTCAGTTATTGAAAACCCTACAAGTGAAACAGTGTGTACTTCATCTAACAGGGTTGAGTCAGGTCCTCTGGATGGATTCGTCTTTGTTGAAACGTTTCGTCTTTTATCCAGAAGACTTCTTCAGTCTGTATGTGTGTGTACAGTGACGTGTACTTCATATTTTGCAAAGACTTTGTACACGTAAGATTACATGTCAACAGAAGTAGCAGTGACATAATGACGAGGTACATTTGAACCTTTAATTATCTGCCACCTCTGCCTTACAAGTCAGGTATGAGAAGTTTCAAGTGTTTCATCTGAGGGACAGAGCATAGATTGCTGGAACTGATCTGTTGTTGTGTTAGCTTAAAATACTTAAAACTGATAACAGTCTACTTTCTGTGTTTGCAGGGTGTGTCAGAACTAAGCTGCTCAAGGATGTAAATCCATTTTTACGAACACTCATGATACCTGTGGAAGTTCTGTTTATCAAGAACACCACCCAGGGATGCCAGACCACCCTGCACTGCGCTCTGCAGGAGGGCATTGAACATCTCAGTGGGCGTTACTTCTCCAACTGCACTGTGAAGGAAGTCGGCGCTAAAGCCAAGGATGATGCAACAGCAACAAAGCTGTGGGAGATCAGCAACAAGTTTTGTGAACTTTAATTTGTTTTTACTGAAAAAATATTGTGGGCAGCACGGTGGTGCAGTTGGTAGAGCTGCTGCCTCTCAGTAACCAGGTTACCCTGGTTCAAACCCCGGTCCAGGGGCCTTTCTGGGTGGAGTTTGCATGTTCTCTCCGTGCATGCGTGGGTTTTCTCCAGGTACTCCAGTTTCCTCCCACAGACCAAAAACATGCATGTTAGGCTGATTGGTAACTCTAAATTGTCCCTAGGTGAGAGAGTGAATGGTTGTTTGTCTCGTTTGTCTCTATGTGTCCCTGTGATGGACTGGAGACCTGTCCAGGGTGTCCCCCGCCTCTCGCACAGTGACTGCTGGACATGGGCACCGCTGACCCCCATGACCCTGAGAGGAAGAAGTGGGTAAAAGATGATGGATGGATGAAAAAATATTTCCAGTGTGCATTTAAATCAAATACAGGTGCTGGTCATAAAATTAGAATATCCTGAAAAAGTTGATTTATTTCAGTTTAAGGACCATGGTGTCCCTGTTGTTAACTGGCCAGCAAACTCTCCTGACCTTAACCCCATAGAAACTCTATGGAGTATTGTGAAGAGGAAGATGTGATGCACCAGAGCCAACACTTCAGAAGAGCTGAAGGCCACGATCAGAACAACCTGGACTCTCAGAACCTGAGCAGAGACACTGACTGATCCACTCCATGACATGATGCATTGATGCAGTGATCCAGACACAAGGAGCAACAACTAAGTACTGATGCTGAACATGTTCATACTTTATGTTCATACTTTATGTTCATACTTTATGTTCATACTTTATGTTCATACTTTATGTTCATACTTTATGTTCATACTTCATGTTCATACGTCATGTTCATACTTTATGTTCATACTTTATGTTCATACTTTATGTTCATACTTTATGTTCATACTTTATGTTCATACTTTATGTTCATACTTCATGTTCATACTTTATGTTCATACTTTATGTTCATACTTTATGTTCATACTTTACGTTCATACTTTACGTTCATACTTTATGTTCATACTTTATGTTCATACTTTATGCTCATACTTTATGCTCATACTTTTCAGTTGGACAACATTTCTAAAAATCATTTTTTTATTGGTCTTAAGTAATATTCTAATTTTCTGAGATACTGATTTTGTGGTTCTCATTAGTTTTCAGTTATAATCATCAACATTAAAAGAAATAAACATTTGAAATATATCAGTCTGTGTGTAATAAATGAATATAATATACAAGTTTCACTTTTTGAATGGGATTATTGAAATAAATCAACTTTTTCATGATATTCTAATGTTATGATCAGCACCTGTATTTCTTTAGATTATCTATATATTGTTATAGTATACATGCATCATATGTAATTTTCTAAAGTTCAATATACCACTTGGACACTGGATATCCCATGGCACAACCATGCTTCTGTCTGTAAAACTGTCACTGTACTTGAAATAAGATGAGGAAAGACAGAAGTCTGTTCATTCAGCCTTTATTTCTACAGGTTAGTCTCATTGAGCCTCGAGGACTCGTTTACAACAGAGACCTGGTTTAACAAATAATGATGACACGACAGGAGACAATCATAAAAAAAGCATATAAGTTGAAAAATAAATGGAAGAAAATTATATTACAAAATGAAACAATAACATCTAGATTATAAGACGATGTAGAAACTAAAAACAGGAACATCCGCAGGAACTTATCAGATGTATGAAGCCACTTAGAGAGGTCAAAGGTTGAGAGCTTCAGATCTTTTTACAAGTTTTTTTTTGTATTGAACGCTTTTTGAATCTTTTTACAAGATATTCCAGGAAACGGGAGCGGAGTAGGAGAAGGTCCTTTTGTTTGGAGGGAAGGAAAGTCACAGATACAAGGTGTTTCCTAACATTCAGGGTTAGACAGGATCTGTTTCTGAAAAAGAAACAAGAAGACTTTCCTTCCCTCCA